GCTTGGCCATGTAGCTGCTGGCAGCTGCGTCTCCCGCCACAAGACAATATCTGTCCTCCTCACTTGTCTCTTCATCTATCCATCCATCCATCCATCCATCCATCCATGCCCTACTTCCCTTTTCTCCTCCCCTTATCCTCGGGTCAGCTATAGCCCCGTTCAACCTCTTTCTCTTCGTCCTCCTCTCTCCTCCTTCACTTCTCCTTCCTCCCACCCTCCCTCCCTCCAGTGGCGACACCAACCATCAGGTCCCATCTATCTGTGTGTACGTCAGCAATTAGAGCGTCGTGGCAGCCAAATGCCAGCCATGTCCCCAAGCTATACACACACACACACACACACACACTCAAAGGCTATGCCCTGACAAAACAGCGAGAGAACAAATCACACCGTAATTTATAATCTCGCTGCGCTTAAATCTCATTATATTACAGACATATGGATTTGCCGGCATGCGCGGCTGGGGAGCCGGCGCTATGAAATTCCAACAATCGTAAATTATTAAAGGAAAGATAGAAATGACCGTCGCCTGTCCAGATTAGCTGTAAATCACACTCAAACATGGTTTGTTTAAGGAATTAAGCCCCACGTGGTGTGAAGGACTTAACAGGGTATTACTTTAGTCACTGGGTGGTAGGGAGGGTCAAGTTTGAGCTGCCTTAAAATATCAAAGGATTACAGGTTCAAGTCATAAAACAGACCAGGGCTGCCTGCTGGGAGACCGTGTCTTTATCTGTGTATACTCCAACCAGCTCCAAAGAAACTGACAGTGTCTCCACCAGCGCCTTCTTTTTCTACCTGATTGCTCTGTTCTACCATTTAGTTAGAACGCCCGATGGCCAAGCCAACGAACAACATAAGCACACCCTCTCCACTGCGCTCGCCTCAGTCCGGCCCTCTGAGCTGAGTCTTGAAAAAGTGGAATTTTATTTAAGGATGAAACCCGAGCAGAGGTGAGAGCGGGCCATCGGAGGGCAGCCCTGGCCCCTCTGCCGTCAGCTCGGCTTTTTATTATCACTCGTGTCATTTCAGAGGAGATGTCAGGGGTTTCATAACACGAGGACATGACTCGGTTCAGATGGCTGCTCAGAAAGCCGCTGAAAAACAGAGGGAGCCCTGATGTTAACCTGTGTCTGCCAACGCACAACGCAGCACACTCTTGTCAGGTCATCAGCCAGGGGAGGTCTTTGTGCCGGAGAGGATGGCTTTTCAGCCATTCCTTGCATCTGGGAGCAGACTAGTACTTGGAATCTATTGATACTAAGATTCATTTTGCGTTAATACTATACTATACCCAAGGCCACTTTCAGATTGACACCAGCACTGCATGAAAATTGTCATCAACTGTTATCTGTGAAAGTAATGCTATACTATCATTCGTATGTAACCAATGTAATAATTACGTATGTAATTTAGCTAATTGTCAGCCAGAAAGGGGTGACGCTTTATAAAGAGGGACAAATTTCAACATTCGGAAGAGTTCAGGGTGGATGGGTGTGTCTAAAAACACAGGACTTTCACCCAGGAGACCGCTGTTTGTGTCTTGTGTGAAACCATAGGTTATTTGTAACATAATTTCAGTGTTTAAGTTAACGCCACTTGAGTAGTTATTCTTACCCAATCCAAACTTTCTTTAACCAAAACAACAACACCGTAGGGGCTTGCACAGACGCACTGATAGCTCATGTTGCTGGACATTCGTAGGGAAACGCTTCATATGCTATCCTACATAAAGTTATTTTGTTGTTTTGTGTTCCATTTTCCTAAGAATGTAGGAAAGAGTTGGGCCTGTTGAACTTTCCAATGGCGTGAGCACAAACCAAACCTTATTTTACTTTACTTCCATCTGTGTATTGGTGTGGAGCAAAGACTGTATGTAAGAAGTCAACGCAGTCACCATTACGTCACCCATTGGTTTGAGGACTGCCATTTTGAAGCCACGAGTTCTGCATTTTAGATGTCGCCATCTTGGCTTTTTTTTTTGCAACCAGAAGTGACACGAGAGGCTGGGAGCTAAGTACATCCAAACACCGAATTACATTTTTAGGCGACCAAAATGTTACAATTGACTTTGGTGAAATGAAAACACACTGTGAAAGAGTTCAAGTTGTAAGAAGAAGACACGGACAACTCCCAAATCAGACAACACCATTGTAGCAACCTTTCGATCCCAAGGTAGCCACGTGGCCTATTTCACTCTAAATGGGACCAAAATGTACTAAATGTATTTATTGGTTTATTTGAACGGGACAGTGCACATTAATAAAAACATTTCTGCAAATGTGCCAGAGTTAGCCAAAACGCTATTTTTCATCTGTAGTCCCAATGAAATGAACATCATGCTGTATTGAAGAAGACTTGAAACTAGCCATTGAGACCATAAACTCATGTTTACAATGTTTACTCGGGTAACAAATCAAGAGAGAAGTAGAGTCATTTTCTTATAGATTTCTATACAACCGGACGTCTTTTGCGATCAGAGGAATCTCCCCTGCTGGCCAGTATAAAGAATGCAGGTTAAAGGTGCTTCTGCATTGGCTTAACGTTTCAGAACTAGAGGTCGCTGTCTTGTGTGGAGGCAGAAACAAATATCTAAAAGCCCGCGAAAATAAAACCCAAACTATCGGAAGGGCTCGGTAGGTAAAGAGTCTGCCATTAAAGATTCCACACGTCTTACACAAGTTTTAATAAGCACATCCATCGGCAAGGAGGAATGCCTTTGCACTAGAGCGGGGGAAAGAAGCAGGGCAGATGCCTCAGCAGGGCAACAGGTGCAATCAAAGTGCTTCCTATAGTCAATACGCACAGAGGCAGCATTTAAAAACATCAGAAGGTGGGGCTGAAGAGTGGCATTAGACTTTGAATAGAGAGGGATCTAATACATGGATGGCCCTCTTCCTCAGTCAGCCCATTGACTCCAAACTGAGCCTATTAGCAAGACAACACACCACTAATGGCACTGCTACTGATGCTACTGCCCCTTATGTGTATGGAGACCACACACACACACACACACACACACACAAGGCCCTCTTCACTTTTCCCACGCTATTGTTACCTAAAGCATCGGTAGATTACAGCGTGAAACCAGCTCAAAGTTCCATTAGGAAACCGTCGCACATCTTATGTGATGAACTGGAGGCGGGAGACATCATGTTTAGAAAGAAATTAGATGGAATCAAGTAAATCTGAAGGTAAAAAACAAGGTGATGTCTTATTTTCTGTTTCTCACAGTGTGAAAATTGTTCACACTGTTATTGCAGCGGCCCTGTTTAACCCAGTTTATATTAGTTTCAGGAGAATATCATGTGGATCCAAAAATAAAATAGGATTTCCCGTCTAAGTGGACAAGTTTAACCCATGCATGCACCCTATATATGCTACCATTAGTTTTCACCTTCCATTCTCCACCCTACAAAGCGATCCATTTCTATTAATCCACCATTCCCACACGTTTCTTCTTTTACCTTCTCAGTGCCCGATTTGAATAAAACCATTTCAACAAAAACACTTAGCTGCTCACAGCTACTGACCCAAAGTGAGTTGGCACAGAAGGAAAAAAAAAAAGTTAGTCTGAGGATGTTAGTTCTACATGTGACCAGCAGGGGGGTGTAGTGGAGAGGAAGAAAGGGGGACAGGAGGCCTCTCTTCTCCCAGTCTCTCTCACTCTGCCTTTCTTACCCCCCCCCACCCCCCCCCACACACACTGTATGCTTAAATTATATGTTTTAATTTCACCCCCCACAAAATTGGAAATATTCCAGGGCTGATAGAACCTGTTTGTGCCATAAATTAGCTCTGCATAAAATATCCCCCCTCTGACAGTCTGTTACAATGGTGGTCAGATGATTGAAAGAGTATAGGCTCAGTGACTTTGTTACAGGTTGTGGAAGAGATGGAACTCTCTTTTCTTTTTTCGAAATGTATTGCCAGTTGAATGGAGAGAAAGAATACACAAAGATTCACAAATGTCAGGGATTCATTTCTATAAAACCTTTATCCAAGACAGGTTGCAAAACAGTGTTTCTTAGATGAAGTTGGGGCGGGGTTACACAATATAATGGTGCTCACTCGTATGTGGCTCGACTTATCCCATCAAGTGCGCATGCTCTATTCGTTTATGTCTTGGAGTTTTTTTGGTCGATCGATGCCGGGGACTGTGCCACACAGCTGACGGTCGGTTGAACTTTCCCGCGGCCCCACTACAACTTCAGTCTCTAAAGTGCGCACTTTATAAGAGTGTCTGGTAGTCCACCTCTTTTTGTTAAGAGGTGGACTTCATTGGCTTTATGGCGAGCAGTCTCTCCACTGGGTGAAAGAGAGAGGGAGAGAGAGAGAGAGAGAGAGGGAGGGGGGGATAATTCATTCACTTTGCGCACAAAGCGCAGTGGAAATCACCCAGGGGAACGAAACACCAGACAGGGGGTGGGGGTGTAGGCAGGAGCATTGTGGGAGGGGGGGTAGTGTCCACGCATGCACACGGACACTAAACTTAATTTTGCAGAGGAAGAAAGACACCTTTTTGGCAAAGTTGACTTTTCCATGGCAGAAATATTTCCACTATTATTGATTCTTTTTTTTTCATCTTGTAAATATAGGATATGAACACTGTCCCTGATCTCTCGCAGGAGAGAAAATGAATAACCTGAGCGATCCAGGTGGTTTGAAGGCGAGAAAGAACCGCTGTGCGGTGAAATACAGAAATGTTTTTAAAGAAGCTGACGTTGTAAAGATTAAGAAGTGATGATTATAAAATAAAAGAGTTGTTTTGAGTGGAGAGAGCTGCTGCGGTCTGTGTGTCTGTCAGTCAGTCATTGAGCGCTGCGCGGCAGCACTGCACCTCGGAGCGATGTGGACCCTGGACACCCCTCCCTCCACAACCCCCCCCCACCCCCCCCCCCCCCACTCCACGTTCAGCCTCGCGCAGCTCAGCTCCAGCCTCACACACGTCGCCGTTGAGCACTGTGAGAACCCCCCCCCCCCTCACACCACATCCACAGTCTCTGCGATCCGTGCGTTCCCTCCGCGGCTTCACTCCTCTCACTTGATCGTCCCTCTCGGTGTTTCAGCGAAGGGGCTGCACGCGCGATCGCGCTATTGATACCCCCCGCTTTGCGCTGTGTTCGAGGAAAGTCACTCTCTCTCTCTCTCTCTCTCCCCCCTCGCTCTCTCCGTCCTCCTCTCTGGCTGCGCTTTGGTAACCTAACGGGGAGGTGTTAACTACTTTTTTTCGCTTCCACAAAGCGCCTCCCGTTATCTCCGGTGCTGCTGCGCGAGAGCCAGAGGTTGCCACTGTTACTGATATTCCCACTCCGCGGAAAAGTTTTCGGTTTGTTGTGAGGATAAAAAAAAAGAAAGAAGAAGAAGAAGGAGCCGGAAACGTGGAGTCGTCTGCAAGAAGAAGCGGATCCTGCCACGGCGAGGTGAGTAACACTGGCTGTCTTTTTGTGGTTGTTGTTGTTGGGTTTGAAGCTCGAACAGTTTGTCTCTCCACGCCTTTTCTTTTTTTTTTGCGTTCTCTCGGTTTTGGAAGCGGATTTCGAGTCGTTTCGTTAAACTTTTTTTTTTCTTTCTCGGGGACTGTGCGCGTTAGACACCGGAGCGCAGTGGCGTTTTTTCACGCGTAAAATAAATAGAAAAATGTCACGGTGCGGTCCGTCTCCGTTTGGACACGGACCTTTCACATTTATGTCTGTTTGTGTCTCCCTGGGTGTGCGCGTGCATCTTCGAGTTTCCCACTAAAAGCGAGAAAGTGGTTTCTGGAAAACACTCGCAATTGTGCAGTATAGTGCGCGTGTCAGTGCCATTACGCATACATCAGCATCACCATGCATTAATTAGTACATTACAAGTGCTGCACGGTCACAGTGCAGCTAATATTTCAACTTTTTTAACAACTCTTAATATATTGGTTTTGTCATTGCGTTTGGTGAAAGCGGATCCTGTCCCACCAGTGTTAATGATTACATCCTGGAGTTTTCCCCTCAAACCTCCCAGTAAAATAATAAAAAATACAATCACAGTCTGCCAGAGAAACTCTATCTGTATTACTGCTGCAGAGCTCCCGAGATATTTCCCCATCATTACCAGTTAGATCCTCAATAACGAGCGTAGCCAGCAGGCCTGCGGTGCTTTAATTTATCTAAAAGTTGACTTTTAGTTTTTCCCATGAAGAAGAGCGGTTGTTTTAGCGCCTTGTGCCATTCTGTCTTTGGTTTTCACAGAAACACAGTGTTGCTTTGCAGCACCAAAGCGCTCACAATGATGAGGACATGATGTGGCTTAAACTGTCGCATATTATTTTGGGGTCTAATAAAGCCCCTGACGAGGCTGATTTGAATGAATCCCTGACACATATATACGTGTATATATGAAAGACCACAACCTCGCTGTAATCATGGGATCACCAACGAAATTTGTATCTCGGGTTTTGAACGTCTGTCGTTCTATTTTATCAAATGTGAGTTTAGCCATTATAATAACAAAAAATGTAATGACCATAACATTGTGAAAAACAACAGAAATATAGACTAGAAGAAAAAAAGAGAGAGAAAGAAGAGCCTCCCCTATAAGTCCTCAAATACGCAACAAATTATTCTGTCAATTGTTTCTCTCAAAGAGAAACAGACGTCTTGAATTCAAAGAAGAAACTCGATTTGCTGTGTGGCATGCGCGTGCACGTGCACACACACACACACACACACACACACACACACACACACACACACACACACACACACACACACACACACACACA